TTAGGGGTGAACGTTGTGATGCGTGCCTTGTGTCTCGATTGTAAAGGGAGGGAGAACGAAAGAAAGAAACTGCCTTCAAACTGGCGGAGATGTTAGCAGTGTGAGTCCTTCGAACCTAAAGCTTTCATTGCGTGAGAACCAGGCCTGAAGCTTCGGGTTTCTGGGAAACCTAAGACCCTGACGCTGGAGCCCCGCTTCCAGGTGATGTCAGATAAAGCGCTCAGCTAGGGAACAACGCGGCCTGGCAGGCCCTGGACGGGCCCTGAGGTCTGGCAGGGCCTGAGTGCGGGGAGGGCTCTACTTTTCCACTGTTGTCAAGTTTTCTGTGAAGAGCATGAATTGTGCCTATTTAAAAAGAAAAAAGTTAAGTGTTTTGCAGATTCTCAGCCGGTCAAGAGATCAGCGTAGAGGGTCAAGACCTGGATTTTTAAGGCTACGTTGTGTTGAAGTTTAGTTCTGGCGTGTGTGCTCTGGGCCACGTAAAATGTATGGAAGTCAAACAGTGGTGGGGGTGGGGGCAGGAATGGACTTGGAAGGAACAGGAGGGGGTGTCCCCAGGTGCTGGGCGCGGCCGTGACGGGACTAGGGTTTCACAGGGGTAAGGATTGGTCAGGACGTGAGGGTACACTGAGATTTGCGCCTTCGTCTGAAAATCAAACTGCAGACAGATACAGAACTCTGGTCAATGGCATGCGTGCGAGACTTGGAGATGCGTTGAAGACGGGTAGATAAATACGGGTAAAAACGGCGTGAACCATTGAGACGGTGTCTGAGTGGCGGGTACGTGAGTGCTTCCTGTGAGATACTCTCAACTTCTCTGTATCTTTGACATTTTTTAAAATAGAACGTTTTGAAACAGTGTATTTCTCATTCTGGGTTTTGGACAAGAAAGTCCGAAAGGTCCTGGGACCCAAGAACCTGCAGCAGGGCGCAGTTAGCCCTTAAGGCACCTTCGTGAAAAACGCCTTGACAAGTGGAGCCGCGGGTCTCAGCCCACCACCCCCTGGGCCAGACCCCAGGACAGGCCTTAACTTGCACAGCTTTGGTGCAGACTCTTACCCTTGGACCTCTTCAGCTGTAACGTTCTGTTCTATTCTAATTAGGGTGGGAATCCCGGCTTTTCTCAAAGGTGGCAGAAAGTGATCTGGGTGTCAGAGTGGAACACCGTCAGTTGTGAGGCTGCTATGCAGTAAAGAGGGGAAGCTTGTGACATTTTATTTTATTTTTTGAGACAGAGTCTCACTCTTTTGCCCGGGCTAGAGTGAGTGCCGTGGCGTCAGCCTAGCTCACAGCAACCTCAAACTCCTGGGCTCAAGTGATCCTTCTGCCTCAGCCTCCCGAGTAGCTGGGACTACAGGCATGCGCCACCATGCCTGGCTAATTTTTTCTATATATTTTTAGTTGTCCAATTAATTTCTTTCTAATTTTTAGTAGAGACAGGGGTCTCGCTCTTGCTCAGGCTGGTCTCGAACTCCTGAGCTCAAACAATCTGCCTGCCTCGGCCTCCCAGAGTGCTAGGATGACAGGCGTGAGCCACCGCGCCCGGCCGCTTGTGACATTTTAGAGCCGTAATGACAGCGTAAGTTATAGGCGCAGCCTCTCCTCAAGACCCGCTGCAGTTAGAGGCCCTGTTAAGTCTTGGGTCATAGCTGTTCACCGGGTGGAGGGAACTGTCTCCTCCCCTGGTGACACAGTGCTCCCCACTGTCTGCTTCACATTTAGGAAATAGAGACGCCTGTTCTCAGAGAGGCAGAGGGAGCTGGACCTAACCACAAGCGACTGTTCAGTACCTGGGCCCCAGCGCTCCACTGGGTCTAGTCCCTGCTCTAGATAGATAAGCTGAGGGACCGGATGCTGCCGGGGCCTCGTCGGGTCCCCACAGTGCTGAGCAGGTTCCACCCCCATTTCGCTTCTCTTGCCGCGGTGGTGGCACTGGGGGAGGACTTGGCTGAGGCTTGAGCCAAAGCCGAAGTCTGCTCACGGCACTGAAGAGCACCCTCAGCGGAAGGCGGCCCTGCTCTCCCGAGCGAGACGTGGCAACCACGGAGCAGGGGCCGCCAGCCCCAGCCAAAGCCAGCACAAGTTGGTCGCCGCCAGGAGAAGCCCGAAGTTGACCGCTGGTGGACAGTCTCCCCCCATTTTAATGCTAAAAATCACGCCCCAGGGTGGAGATGTAACATGCTAATGAGACACGTGATGCATGAAGACCCGTGATCGCCGGATGGGCAGCTGCTGGGGAAACGACTGTGCTGCGAGCTGCGATTGCACTTCCGCTGCTCTCTGCACTTTGGAAGTTCCCCGGCCCTTTGCTTCCCTTTGTTTCCCGAGAATCTGGTTCTCAGCCGGTTTGGAGAGCCGGTCCGGTTGCTTAGCCGGTGCTGCCTCCTTTTGTTCCAGCAAAAGCCAGGAAAGCTTTGCCTGCCTGCGTTTCCTTTTCGGTCTCTTGCCAGTTTCCCTCGACTTGGGGAGCAAGAGCTGCTGGGTGGCGTCAGCCTGCTCCCCCCCGCGGGGCCATACAGTGCTGCGCTGGCCCCCGGACGGTGCCAGGGCCACCTCAGGAGGGGCCCCCTTCCCACCTGGCCACCACCCAACTTTGTGGCTTCTGTCACCATCTACCCCAGGGGTGGCTGCCGGGAGGCCTGGGAGGGAAAGTGCCTGCACAGAGCGGCTGTCACCTTGGCCAGCCCCGGAGCACAAGCTGGTGGCAGAGGCAGGGCCTGGCAAGCCCTGCGTGGCTCTGGGATGGGCTAAACCCTAGGGCAGCTCGCTGGCGTCTTGCGGAGTCCAGGACGCGAGTCTGAACCGTGTCTGGCCCCGTGTGGGGGCAGAGGCTTGGTTCTAGGAGTGTGGGGAGTTTGGAGGCTGGGGTATGGTGGCGTTCACCCCCCGACCAGCGAGTGGAGAGGGGGACGCCCCGCAGAGCATCAGCCTCAGGACCCGGCTTCCGTGCTATGGCCAGTGTCCCTCTGGTGGCTCAGGGACCGGCTGTGCCAACTGTTCAATGTTTTTCCTGTCCCCCTGGAGAGTAGGCCTTTTGGGGTGACTTCAGCCTTAGAGGCCTCCTCAGAAACATGCCTTGCACTGGGCGCGGAGGCTCACACCTGTAATCCCAGCACTCTGGGAGGCCAAGGTGAGGGGATCGCTTGAGCCCAGGAGTTCCAGACCAGCCTGGGCAACATAGTGAGACCCCATCTCTACAAAAAACAGAAAAATTAGTTGGGTGTGGTGGCGCATGCCTGTAGTCCCAGCTACTCAAGAGGCCGAGACAGGAGGATCGCTTGAGCCCAGGAGTCCAGGCTGCAGTGAGGGGTGAGGGAGCCATTGCTCTCTGGATAACAGAACAAGACCCTGTCTCCAGAATGTGTACACACACACACACACACACGTGTATATTGCCGTGCTTGGCTACCGCGATGGGGTCAGTGGCCACGTTTGTGCTGTGGGACGTTGCCTTCTGGTCACAGGTGACGGGACGAGACGTGCACAGCCAGTCAGCCCCTCCGCTGGGACCGTGGCCTCTGGAGCTGGGACAGCCGTCAGCGT